AATCCACAAATTGTAATGTCAATATTTTCATTAAGCCCAACTCATTGTTTCGCAATAGTAGTATTATGAATTAATAAACATCAAATATTTAAACTAATTGCATTTTGAATAAACATATTCTATCATCATTACTTCATTGTACTTTAAATTTTAGTTTATATTTCTACGTCAATTTACATATATCCATCGGCACTGAAAGTAAGCAGTATATATATGTAAAATGTTCCATTTTGATTAATCCATTTCAGAATACTATATACACAACAAAATGTCTCCGTCTCCAATCATTGTATCAAAATGATTTAACAGAATGATTAAATTCATCAGCAGCACCAGAAAAAACAATCATTTGACGGAAAAATCACAAACTTGTAGTAATCTGATAAATCAGCCTTTGAATACAGCATCAGGAATAAAAATCAAATCAATCTATTGGCTTATCTATATTATATCCCGGATTAGGAAGTTTATGTATAAATCACTCTTTCAAAAAAAAATGTATCAGATCAGTGGACACTTCCCCTGACATAAACCAAACAGTAATAATCTAATGAGAGAAGAGTCCATAACATAGTGGTCATTATGAGCCATTAGATATCAAATATCCTCATCAACATCACAGGTAAAAATCAATACAATCATATTCACCTTTAATTAGTGAACAGTCATAATTGTTCATCAACAAATTTTTATTATTAATTGGTTTCTTTTAGACAATTTTTTTAGGTTTAGTAATCTGTCTAAACTAAATTTTTTTAGCAAGGTGAGAAACAAAGAACAAAGGAAATTAAGCTTGGAAGAAGGAAAATCAGGATTTTACATCAATAACTTCATGTGATACTGTGGATAAGATGACTTTAGGAGGAATTACCATTATGGCTTTAACTGCATATCTTCAGTATTACTGAATGATACTAGGACAGTCCTTTAATTCTTAAAAAATGATTTCAATCTTGGTCTAGGTGGCCTTATTCCTAGATTAATACATCAAATATTCTATAAAGTAATTACCAAGAGTGCATAGGCTAACTTGTTTCACCTACTTTACTGATTGCGATTAAATGTAAGTTATAAGTCTTTAAAATCAAGGCTTTACTACAGGAATCATATACACTAAAATTATCAATGACCCATGAAAAGGAAGTCAAGGTAAGCTTCAGACATGTTCACCATTATTCAAAGTCAACAGATCAGACCATGACTGAGAATGGTGTCCAAATAATCTCAATGGAAGAGAGATGTGCCAATTCCTATACAACTGCTTACCAAATATCATTTACCTACCATTAGTGGTCCCCCTTATACTGACCTCATCAAAAACTTTAACAAATTGTTGATCCCACCACACCAGACATAACCAGACTAATGAACAGATCTCAATGTTTTCTCTGATAAGTGATATTTTGAATTATTCCTTTTGACAAGCATCAAACTAAACAAGTATATATAGATTCTTTTTTTTTTAGTCAAAATACATGTAATCAAACAACACTCGGTAAATATTTCTTCCTCGTTCTTAAACAATGTCATTTAATGGGTAGCAAACCTTAATGTTAGTCTAAAAGGAATATTACCATTGCATTTGGGCTGCTGTGTCACAGAGTCAAAATATGAGATAATCAATGAAAAAGACAATGCACAAACAACAGACCTGGAACATAATACCAGCACCTTCGCCATATTTTTTATTACAGTAAATTGATTATTTAAGTAAAAATCAACAGCAGTCTTTTGTTTACACTTGGTAGAAATTTTCTCTTTAAATCAATATTTATTAACTTGCATATATTTGCAGTTAACACAGACTAACATGTAATGTAAGAAAACTTGTAATTAGGTAATAAATATTGAGTTAAACCTAATAAATAGACTCTTGCTATGTCACACTACAAGTGTAACTCAACTGTAAAATAAAATATAACTTTCCTTTCTCTTAATTATATTCTTATGGTTAACCAATTTTTGAAAATACCAGAAAAAGATGCAGACTATATATTTGAATATGTCTTTTTCCAAATGTTTTTTATTTGATCTTAAGAAATTTAAAACTGCTCTGGCACTTAATATTTTCCTTTGAACTTTTTTACTCATAACTTTGACCTTAAGGACAAACGATACAGTTACAGGGAAGGTAATGACGTTGCTAATGTAAAATGTTATTTTTTCGCGACGTCAAACTGTGACATATCAAGAAAAGATGCATTTTTTGTTTTTCTAAAATCTTGAAAATTAAATAAAAATGAATTATTTCCAAAGAATCCATAGGATAGAAATGTCCAAGAAACCAAAGTTTTAAGTAAATGTCTAAAATTTTGACCCCATTTACCTCTAAATGTAGCACACGAAGGTATATTTTTTATAATATATTTGAATTGACCAGGTTGAAAATAGCTTGTATGCAAATTATCGTTAAAAATTCACAGTGGGATCGAAACTGTCTGCCATTAAGCTCAAGATGTGGCTATTACAAGGCTTCCAAAAAATACATGTTGGGCGATTGTGTCCCCCCCCCCCTCCTCCACTATGAAAAGCTATTTCCACTAAATGTTGAAACTTTCAGGTTACTGATATCAAACTATATTCTATAATTTCAGCTCCATCATCTGTACTAAAACCGTGCATATCACACATTTTTACACTTACATAGAAAGCCTTAAATCTATAATTATCACTATCATTCCATAATTTGTTAATACATTTTCAGTCTTTTACAATGCATTTAAGTTCTTTTTCAGGTTTTTTCCCCATACTTGCACTAAATTAATTGAATATTTAAATTAAAGATAAATAGTCAGCAATAACTGTTATGTTTGAATTTCTACTTTAAGATGCACGTGTCCCCCATACATTCATTTACTATTAATAATGTTAAGCTTAAACCCAACAAATATCAATATGATATCATTTGTAGGTCCAGATAATGCCAGGGAAAATTATAACTGACAAATAAATAAAAACAAAAATTCACCAGTATACGCCTTTTATCCAACCAAACAAAGCATACTAACAAAGTATACTATCATATCAACTATAATGACGCGTCTTTTGTAGACGAACTGCATGTAGGCTATACAAAATTTTAATCCTGGTATCTATGATGAGTTTATGGTAATTTATTTTGATATCTGATTATTGGATACCAGGAAAACTTTACAAGTATTTACAGAAACCAGAAGAACAGCCTTATGGGAAGGAATTATAATGTTTACAGAAACCAGAAGAATAGCCTCATGGGAAGGAATTATAATGTTTACAGAAACCTGAAGAATAGCCTCATGGGAAGGAATTATAATGTTTACAGAAACCTGAAGAATAGCCTCATGGGAAGGAATTATAATGTTTACAGAAACCTGAAGAATAGCCTCATGGGAAGGAATCATAATGTTTACAGAAACCAGAAGAATAGCCTAATGGGAAGGAATTATAATGTTTACAGAAACCAGAAGAATAGCCTCATGGGAAGGAATTATAATGTTTACAGAAACCAGAAGAATAGCCTCATGGGAAGGAATTATAATGTTTACAGAAACCAGAAGAATAGCCTCATGGGAAGGAATTATAATGTTTACAGAAACCTGAAGAATAGCCTAATGGAAAGGAATTATAATGTTTACAGAAACCAGAAGAATACTGTGGATTCATTTATTTTCGAGGGTATCAATATTCGTGGATAGAGAAAAAAAGACGTTTAGTGGTATACGTAAATTCGTGGATTGCTGATTACAAAAAAAAAAATCAGATACGTAATTCGTGGATATCTTTTTGATTTTGGAGATCATATAACCTCCTTGGTTTGATCAATAATAAAACAAACAAAAAAGAAGGAATTCATTGAAAAAGTTTTGAATTGTCAAAATCCTCGCTTGGTCATTCTAGGTTAAAGTGTTCATTGAAAACTTCTATTACAGTAATGGACAGAGACAACTAATTATTTGTTTGTTTTACAATTTATAGATTCTTGTCGGAATTTTATAAGGCATTCAAAATTCTATGATTGAAAGCTCATTTCCCTAATCACGATATAATAAACAGTCATATCAGTAAAAGGTGTGAAAATAAATGTTCCTGTCATTAACAATATTACCTACGGGCAATATCCCCGTACTTAATCCTATTGATTTTTAATCACCAGTAAACCAAACTATGACACGGTAATTAACAACTTGCAGTTATTTTCCATGAACAGTTTTAATCAATTTTAAAAAGTAAATTATCACTGATATTCGGTATATTAATTGTTGATTTAATCAAAATACTTGTATCGTCTTTCAATAAAAACATGTGCTATGTTACAATGTTTATCGCTAGTCAACACTATACTAGAACTGCATAACATAACCGGAAATAAACATCCGACTCCATACACATTTCTCGGGATTATTCTTCGTTGAATTCTTATATTCGTGGTTCGCTGTGACCCACAAAACCCACGAAAAATGGTATACCACGAATAAAAATGAATCCACAGTAGCCTAATGGGAAGGAATTATAATGTTTACAGAAACCAGAAGAATAGCCTCATGGGAAGGAATTATAATGTTTACAGAAACCTGAAGAATAGCCTCATGGGAAGGAATTATAATGTTTACAGAAACCTGAAGAATAGCCTCATGGGAAGGAATTATAATGTTTACAGAAACCTGAAGAATAGCCTCATGGGAAGGAATTATAATGTTTACAGAAACCTGAAGAATAGCCTCATGGGAAGGAATTATAATGTTTACAGAAACCTGAAGAATAGCCTCATGGGAAGGAATTATAATGTTTACAGAAACCTGAAGAATAGCCTCATGGGAAGGAATTATAATGTTTTGTTATCTGATTATTTTTTCTCTATAACACCCACTACAAAATTTAATAAATACTTCAACTATGAAGATAAATAAGATGAAAAATATCACAAAGAAAAATTAAAATAATATGGATTATACAAGATTAGAGGAAAAATATTAATTCTAGGGTTACCACAAAATATGCACATATAATATATATTAACTGACCTGTTCTATATTGGCCCCATCATCAACATTCATATATACTGTCCATTCTCCAGTGGACCCTGGCTGTGCTACCATTCTACACACACCTAAAATAAATCCACTATAATATTATAGTCTGAGAAAATTGTGTTACTACATAATAAATGCAGGCAAGAGGAGAAATTTTGGGTTCAAAGCTAAATATAATAAGTTATACTTTGAAAGCTGAAGTTAACAGTACAATTTTTGAAGCTTTTTGCAATTAAACTTTAATTTTTCTACAGTTAAATTCAATATTATTGTTAAAGTTTAATCTAAGGTTTAGTTTTTACTGTAAATCTGTACAGTTTGGAATAGAATGAGTTGTATTTTCAATTGAAGCATTCATATTTCTCAAAACAATGGACTACACTAGTTTTCTTACCAGCTCGTGACAATGGTTCCACGAATTCTCCCAGTCCATTCGGAATGCCTCTGATAGTATCACATGAATAACCATCTTCAGGAAGTAGGAACGGTAATTGTAAATCTGGATCTTCCTCCAGACGAACATCTCGACCATCAGATTTTATTTTCTCGTCCTCCATGTTTTCTGCTACTCTAACGACTTGGTCGATTAAGTTTTGTGGAATGGGTGGCTCATTAGGTTCTGGAATGTACTGCTGGAGTAACTCACGCAGCTGTAGTGAGTTTAGTTTAAAACATGTGGAACAAATATTGGCGATGTCATCAGCACTACTCTTTGGAGCTTCAAGTAAATGGGCAGCCTGGAAAAGAAATCACAATCAATTAAATTTTCATCATTTCAAATTTTATTACAAATCTGCTATGGTTGAAAATAATCAGATATGGTTACTTTTATGGTACCAGTAAATGATGTGTTCATCCCTTATCAAGCCCTTTATTTTTTCACTATAAACCAAACTTAATGCAAACTGTTCAATTAACTTCATGTACTTGCTGCACAAAGTATAATGACAGAATAGTCCTCCACAAATACAAATAATGAATACTTTTACAAGAAAGATTTTTTAATACTACAATATGTTGATGCTGGTATCCTTCTCAACTTAGGTCCATTCTGATTTAACGTAATACATTAAAGATTTCAAACTTATATCTAAAGTTGAATGAAGTCTTTTATCATTACTTCAGCAAGTTGTCTGCCTTCCAAAGGTGGAAATTGTTTTTAAACGAAACTAGTTCTTATAAACTTCCCATCTAAGAACTATTCTATTGATATATTCATTATTTCCTAATACTTTTTTTCTCTCATGTATCCACTTAAATTCCTTCAATTTTTTTTTTAATTCTTTGTCAACCCTACTATTAGCATGAATAATAGGGAGTGAAAACTGACCTGAATAATAGGGAGTGAAAACTGACCTCAATAATAGGGAGTGAAAACTGACCTGAATAATCCTACAGAGATGACAATCAGCTGCCAGTTCTAGTCCTTGTTTTTCTGCCCATGCCTCCACTCTACCCAATCGCCTCTTTAGTCTCATTCCCCATGACCTTGTGCACAGCTGCACTCTCTTTTCTGTCACTAGCACATTAAATAACCACATATTTACATAATGGAACAACTGAGAGAAGAGTTGAATGGTCAGTGCAGCGTTTACTCGACATCTACGTAATAAGTTCATTGCTGATGATAATGTGTCTAACACATCACCTAGAGTTGGTTTACCTGCATACCGATGACGATCATCTAAAAGATAAAACTTTAAGTTATTAAAACTTACTGCAAAAATAAACATAAATCTTATTTTGATGATTTCCCAGAAGAAATAGAACTCAACTTAAGTAAGCTGCCTTTTTCCTCTGCTCTGGCATTGCAAATTTTTCTTATGAATACAATATGATGAGTTATACAGATTCTTTTAAGTGCAGCAAAAAGAGAATGTATAAATTGTAACTCTCTGCATTTGATTCACTTATTTTGAAATGATATTATCTGAAAGGCTTATAATTTTCAACATTTATCTTTTTGATAAATTTGTACCAAGAAAGACCACTCCAGTATACAATGAATTTTAAATTTATATTAACTTGTCATGCTTGCATTACATAATTAAATAACAATAAAGTATTTCTTGACTTTTTTTAAACAATCATTATATTTGTCGGGTAAAATGTCACTGTTTTTTGCTTATTAATAGACTATTTTGGAAAACTTTCATTGGTTTGATAACTAGTTAATATAGTTTGTTGATAAGGAGGACATTAGCTTGTGGCTTAAATTTGGATCAATATCAAATATATGTAGAATTCTAATATGATGCTATTCTATCTATGTGTTTTAATTCCATAAAAAAACTTAAAACATATGACTGATGTCCCAATTGAAATTGCAACATTAGTAGTTTTTTTAAATGATGCTGGAGATTAATACGGACTGTGGAAGTTGCTTACTATGAAATTTATTAAAAACTTTTAAAATGTAAGTCTTTATGTACCTTCACATTTAAAATGGTGAAATGCTTGTTTTTAGAAACATTTTTCCTTCATTAAATCAAAACGGTTCTGAATAATTTCTTCAACAATTCAACCCCTTTTTCTCTTAATTGTTAGAGGACTAAATTCTACTTACCTCCCACTTCATCATCATCAGCAGCATCATTCTCGTCCAGGAAGGCAGTCATTGTTCTCTGTAGGTCATACTGTAGACAATTGACTAGGTGATGGAAAGCTAACTGTACTGATTCAGCTAGAATCTCCTGGGCTTCCAGACTGAAGGGATGTATATCATGGTCTTGTTTGAAAAAATTCAATATCTCTGACGCGTTAGCCATCCATAAAGCTAATGCTACTGGGTTATCTCGATTATTCTGAAAAAGGAAATTAGAAATATTTAAACTTAGAATTATCTAACTAAAAGTTGCTTTTCAAAAATAAAAATACCTTTAATTTGAACATGTAATATTTCTTCCCTTTATATGTTTTAAATAAGGGTCATGAAAGGTTATTCTGTGTATAATGGGCACACTTTCTTGATACTGCTCAGTTAGATAGAACCTGATCTGAGTAAAATGAGATGTGAGGTATATGTCAACCCAATGACACACATATAAATGACATTTAGAAGTAAACCTCCAACAGTACAATATGTCAATCTTTAAATTATCCAGAGTCTAAATAAACTGTGAAATAATTCTAATATGACGTTCTTCAAATGCTTTGAGCACACACCCATAGTGAAATATGAATATATTGATATTGTATTGTTTGGGCTGTTCCAATCTTACTCCCACGTCGTTTGCTTTTTATGAATGAATTACCCTAAGTCTGACTGTGTAAATGACGTCATTGAACGATGATGTAAGAAACAAGCATTCTACGGGAAAATGCACGAACTTGAAACTGAAAGTTGTCAAAACATGAAAACAAAAACAAACAATCATAAGAATTTGTTGAAAGCCCATTTTCCTAAATAAATCAACTTCGTCCAAACCTGTCTTAGTATGTTCCTGTAAATCATTTAAGCATGTCACTTATTCAGTTTTCTTCGTATGTTACATCAATATTAATAGTGTGTTCAATTACGGGAACAGCAAACATTCCCTTCACCTAGATCACTTCGAAACAAAAGAATTGCTGTCTTTGCCCTATTAGAATAGAAATAATTCATGGGGGCTTGAATTTATATTGATTTCACCACGGCTTGGCTCTTTATGCAGATATTTTACCCCTCCCTATCGCTCGTGGTAAAATATTTAGCATAAAGGGCCAACCCATGGTAAAATCACAATAAATTCAAGCCCCCATGAAATATTTCTTAAACAATATAAGAAGAATGTGTCCGAGGACAGGCAAGCCCCCACTCGTTAGCTTATAATACACGACAATACTTTTTGAGAGGATTTGATGTTACTAGTAGATTTTTAAAGAGTTCTATTGTTCTACTCTTAGGTATTTGTGTGCTGTGTTATTTTCATATTTTTCACTGTTTTGTTTTTATTTATTTCTTATGTAATAAGTTTTCTAATAAGTTCTATTGTATCCAGTGAATTGTTCAGTTCTTAAATAATGCTTTGACTCTTTGACTTCTAATTTCTTTGTTTACTTTACTTGTTTATTTGGTAAACAAAACATTTATGACCTTAATAGTAGTTAAGTGAAGATCACACTTTACGAAAAATCTGAGCATTGTGCTTAGTATTGTGTATGAGTTTCATAAACTTTACATGAGGCAAACTTATGTTAATGTGTGCAAAACAAAACAAATTGGCAATTTTCCAAGTTATAAAGGGGCATATCTCTAGAATGATAAGTGACTCACTGCCTCAATTCGAACTTCGTCTGCAAATTTTGGTTCTTAGCATTGTGTATGAGTTTCATAAAATTTGCATGAGGCAAACTGAACCCAAGACTGTGAATCAAAAATGGAACAGACAGATGGAGGGAAGGACGAAGGTCATAATATTTGAAACCTATAACTTACTTGGACTGCTTGGTGTACTAAATGAGATATCTTATTAACAAGTCCAGTAACTCTGTGAGCCCTGTCGTGTGGTGACATGTCTGGTCTGTATCCACCAGATATACAATATCTTACTGCCATGTAAGACGTATAGGTCGGAGCCAGTTTAAACTGGGTACCAGAAGAGTTGATTTCCAGTATAACAGATCTAAGGAAACCATCTTCCTCTGTAATAATGAAAATTGAAGTAGTTATTAAATCTCATCCTCAAAGTATAATGACATTTCATGATGGTTAATGTCCACTGACATTGTATAAAACATGATTTTTGTTCTACATTCTCGAACAAAAAAAGGAGTCAACTATTTTAATTCTAGATTTAATTCCCAGATAATAAACATCTTAGATAAATTAATCAGTTTACACACTTCATACTTTTAAACTACGTCACTGATTTGGCAAAAAAGTAAAGTCCTAAATTAAACTTTTGTTAACTCCACTCATATTTTTTAATGTCTATAAACAATTTTTATTTGTATGAATAAAGAAGATGTGGGTTACATGTCAATGTGACAACAACCCAGAGACATAACATAACAAATAGGCATCAAAAGAATAGACATAGGTGAAGGTCTAAATCTAAGTCTATAAAGTCCTGATGATTTTTTTATTGCTTCGATTTAATTTTGAAAACCAGAAATCAAAGTAAAAAATACACTACCAAATACATTATATATATACTGTATATTTGGTTTGACTGTAGATTATTACACCAAATCTTTTAAAAAAAAAAATCAGCAACAGCAATTCAACTTAATAATATGTAAAACTCTCTGAAAATAGAGTAACTTTAACATTGCTCCAGCATTTGAATTCTAAACCACAACAATCTTTAACATCCTCACATAGATTGTTGTCAGCCTTCCTGGGTAAATGTTTAAATAGAGCAACATTAAATGACACAATGCTGGCTTAACTCTATCAATCAAATCCTTAGAAAGAAATTTTTTTACGTACTATCTTCACGAAATTCTAACACAGCAGGAAGAGCATCCTCTTGTCTTGATGGAGGTGGTCGCCCATCTACCATATCACGTGGAGATGTCTGACTGGGTGGAGGCCTGTAAAAAAAAAAGTCAACATTGTGTTAAGACATTTTATGTAGGGTATTGAATGTTACTCACACATGGTAAGAGATATTTCTGTAATTCTGTATGCATTTTAACTAGTTCTGACCAGTTTGTTAAATTTGGATTTACCATAATGTTGATTAAATTTGTCTTGTGTAATTTCCCACAATAACCATTCAGAACATTGAACTCAGCATTTTCCATTAAATCATTAGAAAAACAGATTCTACCACTTCAACTGGTAACTACAATATTTATCCACTCTTGATATTTGTATTTAAAATCATCTTAGTAGCTTAACATTGTAATCAACAGAGTGGAAGAATCTATTTATTACACTAGCTTCAACAAGTACACAAAATTCTGTACTACTGTAGAATTTGACAAAACATGTAGGTATGTTTCATTGTGCTGGAAATTATTTATTATCCTTCCTTATTGTAGTCTGTATATCTTAACATTGATTGTCTCCCATGATCTCAGGAAAACTGTTTTTGTATTATAACAAAATAATTGAACTAAATTTTAAATCTACCTTTTCTGTTGAACCTCCATAGGTTCAGGTCCCCTATCACTACCTCTAGGAGAAGAACTTCCCAGTGATTCCACTTTACCATCAACATCAAAATTAGTCTCATGTACTTTAGCATGTGGTGGATGCTGGGGTCCAGGTCTTTTTTGCTGGAAATCCATTGGCATCTGTCCTTTCCTCATTTTCTATAATACATATAAACATCACACTTTAGTAGATATTCATATCAGATCACGAGATATTAATACATATAATTTACATTGTGTCTTATGATTCAAAAGTGTGTGTGTGCATGTGGTCAATTTGATGACTAAAGAAATCTTCATAAAAGTGAAAAGTTTGTAACTATTAAATCAGATTTCTTGCAAATAGGTTTTCAACCATTTGCTTAACAAAATTGAGCCTCTTCGACATAAAAAAACACCAAATTGAGCGAAATTACCTACGGGAAAAAACATTTACCAGTAGTGTTAAATAATGAGACATTGATACATTCCAATTTATGATAAAATTAATCATTAAAAATAAATAAATGGAGAATGTGTCCATGGGACACAGATGATGCCCCTGCTGGCATATAACGTTATAAAGGGACATCATAACATTTGCTTGAGACAAACTTAAGATAGAGAATGGGAACCAATTTTGGATGTATGTACAGAAGGACAAGGTTAACACTTAATGCCCCCTCCTGTGACGGCGGGGGCATAAAAATATTTCTCACCTCCTCAAAATGAGGGTCCATAAATTTAAAGACATTCAGTTTTCCAAATCTGAGTGTCATTCCATGTCTTAGTGTCGTAGTCTCCTGGATCCGCTGGTTGTTAACGATAGTTTCTGATTCTGGACTTGTTGGTGTGATAGTAACAATACCATCCGACTGAGTCAGGCCAATCACACAGTGTCTTGGCTGTACATTAGGACCATGAAGCTTAAAGAAGTAATAAAATAGTCACAATATCAAACAAAATGACATCACCTTGGCTGTTTATTAGGACAATGAATCTAAAAATAAGTCATACAAATATCACTATATTACGCCAATTTCACTTTGGCCTGTATTTGGACAAATGAGCAAAAATAGTTGTAACTAAATCCTATATTCCTATTCACAAAATGGTTTGAATAGATTTCAGAACATCTTTTTTACAATTTGTTCATCAATTTCAATAAATTATAAAAGTTACATTAAGTTAAAGTAAAATTTGATACTGTAAATTCAGAAATTATTGCGATTTTTGAAGTATGAACAAAAATGCAAGATTAATTATTGTAATTAAAGAAAATTTGCATACATAGATGTATGTATTAGATATCAGGATGTGAGTTCTTATTATTGCAATTCTCATCTATCCAATTATTTCCATTAATTAAAAACTCGCAATAAATTCTGAATCTACAGTAACCAAATACAACCAAAGGTAAATTGAAGACCACATGTTCATATTCTATAAAACTGAGGCTATTCTTGTTTGTAATTCTCTCATGCAAAATTGATATTGAACGACTTTAGCTATTCTGCTTATATAACTTTTAATCTCATTTTATAGTTTTGGTATTCCAAAATGTTGGTTTCGTGTGTCCTGATGAAGATTACCAAAAATTGTTATGCACAGGGAAATTGGTATCATATGTATTGTTACGGAACATCACACAAAATTTAAAAGGCTTAGATTTCATACATGAACAGAAAGCAAACCGTGTGATAAAACAAGTATCAATCACAGCAGTATGTCTTCTATTCACCCCAAAATAGTAAGCCAAATCATGCAACATCTGTTGACACAAAATATTAAAAAGTTACTTCTTTAAAACTGAATTTTACTGTGTGTATTGCTGTTTGTTTGTTTCTTTCACATTGACTAGAGGTATAGGGGGAGAGTTGAGATCTCACAAAAAATGTTTAACCCTGCGGCATTTTTGCACCTGTCCCAAGTCAGGAACCTCTGGACTTTGTTAGTCTTGTATGTTTTTTTAATTTTGGTTCATTTATATGTTTCAGAGTTTAGTGTGATGTTCATTTTTGCTGAACAAGTATACATTATTGTTTAGGGGCCAGCTGAAGCCCGCCTCAGGTTGCGGGATTTTCTCCCTGTGTTGAAGATCAATTGGTGGCCTCAGGCTGTTTTCTGCTCTTTGGTCTGGTTGTTGTCTCTTTGACGCAATCCCCATTTCCATTCTCAATTTTATTATTACCAAAACAAATTTTTAACATCTTTCTTTAAGAAAACACTGCCACAATAATTGTTGGTTTTGCTCTTCAAACCTGATTCATACCTGTATCAACATATTTCTATCTGTTCCTACTTCAGTAAACTTCATATTTAGTCTACAAACTTTCCCTTTAGGATTATCTGATCCATCTGAAAACAATTAATAAAGAGAAATTATAAGGAAATATCTACAGAGAACTAAATAACTTATATGAATGATTTGCCTTTCAACAAAGCACAATAAAGTATCTATCTATGTATATACACATGACATGAGTGACAGTTAACACTGATAAATACTTTACAACTTAACATTTCTTTTTATAGCAATAAATATAGTATACAGTGTTAAATTTTCATAAATCTCAATGTTTTATTGTGTGTACATATACCCCAGCATTGTTTGACATTGACACAGAAGAACATAATCATATGGAATGGAAACAGGTCTATTGTTGAGACAATATGATGAACTATAGATGTCATGTGATTCTTTGTTTCATTGGGTTGCTGTCTTATTTATGTTTACTCGACTTCTCCTTATATTCATATCAGTTAATGTATTATATTGCTTCATCTTTTTTCTGGCCCAATTTTCATGCAACAAACCAAAACATTGCAAAATAGTGACAGACTATCAGTATGGTCTTGTAATTCAGTGGTTGTCGTTTGTTGCTGTATATCATATTTAATTTTCATTTATTGTTTTGTATATGTGGGTTTTCTAGTTTGAATTGTTTTATATTTTGTTATTTTGGCCTTTTATAGTTGACTGTACAGTATGGGTTTTGGTCATTGTTGAAGGACGCATGTGACCTTAGTTGCTCACATCTACGTTATTTGGTCTCGGGTGGATAGTTATCTTATTGGCAATTATACCACATTTTCTTAATTTTCAAATGATGATTAGTAGATTAATCATTTTTTCTGAATACTACATTGTTTACATACCAGGGTTTAACTCCACCAGATATGGTAATTGGTGAGGTGGTATAGTGTCTTTAGTAGGTCGTAAATCCTCATGAGAGACAGCTCTGATCTTTTTATGTTTTGTTTTTTTGGAATCAGCAGGACGTCTCTTTAACTGAAACATGACTGTTCCTGAAATCAAATATCAATATCATATGATATAATATATTAATAATAATATAACTACAATAAAGAAATGTCCTTTCTAATTATTCCTATCACATTTTTAATCTTTATGTTATTCTTTAACTTTTTCCCAGTGAAAATGCCAACTATACTTGCATACAATTATTGCTTATTGTTAAAATCTAAGGATATAATATCCCTATAAAATGTAGACAATTATAAGTGCAAACTCAAATTAGTGTATGCTTTTTTAAATTTAACTTTGTAAAAGATGGGCTTTATTAAGTAAGTAAATATTTCAATCTTTTTCTGGGAAAGGGATTCAAATATATACAGGGTATATACTTTATATATACCATCATACAGTGTAAGTAAAGCTTAAACAACAACCTGAGATAACAGACCAACATAAAACAAAAACAAAATGCTTTCAACAATCATGTCTTTCTCATTTCAACATGTGTTTTTTAGGATCATTTCTTAAATAAAAATCATTTTAAAGTTAGCATATTTAAATCTGAATTGTCAAGATTCAGTTAACCTTACTGGTTGGTAAAAATTTCTATCATGAATTAGGATCAATTTTAACCAACCTAAGAATTAATAAGACAATAGGTTAACCATCGATGATTTTTTCTCAGACATCAACATTTTTATATCAGATTTCACTGTGAGATCATCTACTAAACATATGACCACTAACCTTCGCTAGGTGGAAATCTCATAGCAATACCCAGAGGACATTCATGTGGTTCCATCACCCTTTCTTGACCAATGGCTCCTCCATGATATTCTCTTTCTCCTGTTGGTACCAATACCTACAATGAATAATCAATCAAAAACATATCAGTGACAATTTTCATGACCAGCTAGAGAATGAATAAATATTTTGTACTTTAACATCCAAGATAATATAATTACTTTCTACTTCAACATCTCAAAGAAAAATAAACATTTATTCTGTATAAGGAACACCAAGGCTCATGTGATTTGTTTCACTTGTCTTTGGAGAGCAGCTCGTCCACACCAAGCAAGGTTATTCTAATTTTGTGGAAATGTTGTACTGTGTATCTGCTCAAGGTGGATCATCACTATATATTTCCTCAGTTAGACTTTTCTTATATTTTGCCAAAATCAAGATTTTGTCATGCTCTTTTGAAAAATATAATCAAAAGTATGGGTCATCCTGTTATTTTTCAAGCTACAAGTCGTCCTAAATTGCCCAATTTGGCATAGATTATTCATGAAAAAACACTTTTTTGTGATTAAAATGAAATCCATGAGAAAGAAGTTTGAAATAAAATATGAGAAGATAGGTTTTGTAATATGCTTTAAGAAAATAAAAAGAAAAAATGGTGTCACTGAACTTGTTTTCTTGCTACAAGTGAAAATTTCACTGTCATTCCAACATAAAATTTTTACAAGAGTTATATCCCCTTATATGGCTAAGTTAAAAAATTGAATTGTACAAAAACAAATATTTAGAATTTGTTTAAACAGTCTAAATAATGCAATAAATCACTTATTTTTCTTTATTTAAACAAAAAGTCTTACACATTAATTGTCAATCTGTCTTAATATTTGCAGATTTAAGCAAAGAACTAGACCGATTGAGTACTGCTATCTTACAATCCAAGATGGTGGTGCAGTATACAGTTAAACTACCTTAAATCGATGTAGGTCTTTAAAAAAAACCCGTATTTTTGTGGAAAAGGTAGACACGCTGGAAGTTTTATCCACTCTGCCTAAGCCTACTGTGATCAGGTAAAAAAATCAAATTTTCTTGAGCTGTACATCCTATCATATAGATGTATGTTTGTCCTGTATATAATATGGGCATTCATTTAATTAAATCCATATATATACTTAAATTTTCCAACTCCTATTCAGTCTTGAGCAGTTTTCATAACAAATTTTGAGCAGAGAACCTGGGATTTATAGATTTATATTGAGAAACTTTTTCATACCAGTGTGGAAATAATTTAATTTTTTGCCAGATATATGTATTTAAGGATATTTTACATTTGTATTATAAAAGAGTAAAGAAGACATTGAATAACCCATACAGAAACTTTTTTAATTAGTAGACAAATTCTTATTTTCAGCAAAATCTGGGATCAGAAATACTTTTTCCATGCCTAGACTTTGGCTATACTTCAGGAACTTTTTTATTTTATCAGCTCCAACATTTCTATGAGGTTTTGGATTTTCAAATATTTTGATCTAAAGCATCATTAAAGAGACATTTAATTGTCGCAATTGAGCATCTGATGCAGTAAAATTGGTACTGTTATAATGTTATTAACATTCTTAAAGTACAATACGGGTACTGGACTTTCATTATTAAATACTATTTTAATCTAAACCATTGCCAGTTCATTTTTATTCAAAATCAATCTGTTCTTATTTCTTTTGCAAGTTTAGCTTAATACTTTTCATTGAAACTTTCAAAATCAGAAAATATGAAAGTTGCTTCCATTCTTCCTACTGATCAATAGTACAGCAAATATGTTTTGGCTACCAAACATAAATCTATGGACTATGTTATTATAAATACAACATAGTGGACAACTGTGTACCTTTTAAAGCTTGAGGTATGGACTATTATGAAATATAAAAGATCTCTATTAAATCAGTAACATTCACAAACCTGGAAGAGACAAAAGTCTGATGGATCTTCTCTATCCAGATCATATTTTTCTAAAGCTTCTTTGATGACATACTCCACATCATCACCAGTAGATAGAAGTAATGTTTTATAAGGAATGTCTGGTCTTAATGTCTCACCATAAATCTTTAATGTTCCACCTGAAATACAAATATATAAAACATAAGTACATACAAATTTATACAATCTCAATCTGGAGATCTGATATGGTCAGCTTTTGAATAATTCTACTGAGTGTACAATGTAAAACATCAATGATACCTGTGGTTCCAAACAAAAAGCTCTGAAAACATGGGAATATAGTATTATTATTAGCATGACATACTTCTAATTATTAAAATAAGTATATCTGGTAGTGACAATCTGATTAAAATCCAATGTTGTGATACGCTAGGGTGGAGAGTATTCTAGCAGTGATTTTGCTAGCGCCCATCATTTTCGTCATTTACGAAACGGTTTTCAAAATGACGAAAGTATTCCAAATCAATTTCGTCACTTAAATTTGGAAAGAGTAAAAATATTTTCGCATGAAAATTCCATCATTCTACCTGTCTTATTGTTTATGACCCTCAGCTAATTAACATTTACAACAGGTGTTATAAGTTGTGATTACAGATAATCAGCTTATCGCCATCAGATGGGACACTAATCCGTTAATTATTTATCAACCTCATAATTGATCATCATAATTATTTTCCCCAGTAAAATCAGTCAGTCGGAATTTCAATTTCAATATTTATCAAACGAGCACAATTTGCAGTTCGTTTGTCGTAGTTTCGTCATTTGAGTTTTCCCTCGGACAGTTCGCATTTTAATTTCAATATTTCTCAAACGATCACAATTTGCAGTTCGCTTGTTGTAGTTTCGTCAAATGAACGTATTTTCGTCATATTTGATATAACTTTTAATCAAAAACTTTCGACAATTTTGATTAAAAAGATAGAATTTTATTCATAACATTCAGAAATGTTTTCACGAGTCAAAAAGGTGCTTCCTTTACGGTGAACTGCGCATTGGCGAAAGTGTTCCTATGAATTTAAAGACACTAAAACTTAAAATACAAAATAATTAAGTATCAAACTAAACTAGAGAGACAAATATAGTTCTTATTTAGCAAATTTAATTTAAAAAATGATAATTTCCTGCCTTTTTTTAAACACGAACCAATCCGTAGATGAATCCGGATTCATTCTGAATTTATTATCCACTTGTCACTTCCCATTTACATTTCATTTGGAAATCGAAAGTAAACGTGATCTATTCATGATAAATTAGAATTGTTCCAATAAGGATTTGTACAACTTCATAGAATTAATTCTAAATATCGCTTTAAAACATTTTTAAGGATAATAAGTAAGAATAAAGCAGTGAAATAGTCCTTGCAAGTTCATTTATGACTTATGCTGTGATTCCTGGTTTTAAAAAAAAAAAATGGATCCCAACTTTTGCTGATTAGGAATGTACCCTGAAACTAACTGAAGTGAAATTGTGAATAAGATTTCTATATGTTATATCATAATCTTTGTATTAAAGTGCCACATCAGTCAAATCATGCAGTAACTGCCTAGTATGCCTTCATAGTCTGACAAAGATGAAAAAAGTATAATATACATCCTAGGTCCCTTGCTGCTACCCAAAATAAGGTTGATTTTCATCCCGCGCAAAAGTGACTAAAGCCCTCAAAATCCTAGCTTAAACCCTGATCCTAGTGAAAACTAACAGCTGATTTTTATGAGATTGTGGTAATCATCAAATTCTCTAATTTCTATTGTCTCAGATTTTAAAGGAATTTGTTGCTATTCATTGTTTTTATAAAGCTGATACATTTTCTGCTCTACATAACATAAATAATTATGTATGCAAAACGCTCACACCTTTGCTATATATCTAAACCAAAGATATAACAATATCTATACTTCCCACAAGGACTATTTTAACATCTTTACAAATATAAAATTCATTCATTTAAACAACCCTTATTGTTTTGAGAATCCACATATATGTATTCAAAGACAAATGGAACCGACTATCATGTATGCACACTAAAACTTTAGGTAAACAGTGAAGCTGATGATCTTTTTTATAATGATAATTGTTTTCTTACAGTAACTTGAATACAATGATGATACTTTCAGATAACCTGTTGATGGACCTTAGACTTAAGTTACATTATAATCAAATTTTAATGACATCAAAGTTTGCTGAAGGCATTATCTATGCAAAACGACATCAAACTTAGATGTTAACTTGTCCAAAACAAAAGTTTTAATTTTTAACAAGCCTGGAAAATTTTTGAAGGAATCACTTTGTTTAGATAATGAGGCTATAGAATGTGTTAACAGATATAAATATTTAGGGATAGTCTTTACTTCCAGTGGTCTTTTTCAGCAGGGGAAAGAAGAGCTATTCAAAAAGTCCTTAAAGGCAAAATTTAAACTACAAAAATCCATGTCAGCTTGTAATCCAAGTATTGATACTGCAATCCATTTATATGATCACACAATAAAACCAATTTTATTATATTGTAGTGAAATCTGGGGTACCTTTAAGATTAACTCTGCTGCTTGCAAGAAAAAAAGTGATTATCTATTTGAATTAATTTACATAAATGATTATTTGGAAAAATCACATTTCAGGTATCTAAAATATATTCTTGGTGTAAATAAAAAAGCCTCAAATTTGGCAGTGTTATCAGAGGTTGCAAGATTTCCTCTTTATTTTTCTGTCATTATATCTATGGTAAAATATGTACACAGGCTTAACAAATTGGACGATGGGTTACTTTATGATGCTTATGTTTGTAATAAAATTTTAGATGCAGGAAACATTAATTGTTGGTATTCATCTATGAGATATGTCCTTCAATCACTTGATATACAAAATTTGAATACAAAGCTCAATAGATTAATTAAATTTGTAAAATGTAAACTTTGTAACAGTTTTAAAACATTTTGGGGGGTCAAAAGATCTGATACCTTATCACAAGGTAATAGTAAATTAGAAAATTATTTCAACCTCAAGACTGACTTCGTAAAGGAGGCTTATTTATCAATTAAAGATTTTAATATAAGAAGAGCTATATGTAAATTGAGAATAAGTGCACATGATCTTAAAATTGAGAAAGATAGGTATAGTAAAAAATACATAGAGAGAAGTCAGCGTCTATGTCATCACTGCCTATCACATGGATCAAATTCTATTGAAGATGAGACCCATTTCACAGTAAGTTGTCCTTTATATAACGAACAGAGAAAATTATTATGGGATAAAGTAAACAGTTTTTGTAATAATTTTAAAGAATTACCCAAGGATAAAAAATATTTCTGGCTGTTCACAAATGAGCATTTACCAACTCTTATGTGCCTAGGCAATTATATAATTAAGTGTTTAGAAATAAGATCCAGGTGGATACAAAATATATAAAATTATTATGCAATTATTGTTAATGTTATGTAAGACACATGATGTGTTAGGCTCTGATCCTGTCCAATATATGATAGTATTATATTAGGATATAGTTTTTCTTTTTTCCAATCATATTGTGCTTAATATTGTTGTAAATGATGCCCTTTATGGGTTCTTGATTAGATTAATAAAATTCTTATCTTATTCTTATCTTATGCAGGATTTCTATTTATCTTCTGGTTCAACTATTTTTTATGGCTGTATGTTGACTGAAATTGTTACTTTCTCTGGAACTATCAATTTGACCTTTTTGTCATGCTTGTATAACAATATTCCTATCTCTAGATGTTAATATTGGTGTACTTGTGTTATAGCATTGCTGTCTCTAGATGTTAATATTGGTGTACTTGTGTTATAGTATTTCTGTCTCTAGATGCTAATATTGGTGTACTTGTGTTATAGTCTTCCTGTCTCTAGATGCTAATATTGGTGTACTTGTGTTATAGTATTGCTGTCTCTAGATGGTAATATTGGTGTACTTGTGTTATAGTATTGCTGTCTCTAGATGCTAATATTGGTGTACTTGTGTTATAGTATTGCTGTCTCTAGATGCTAATATTGGTGTACTTGTGTTATAGCATTTCTGTCTCTAGATGCTAATATTGGTGTACTTGTGTTATAGCATTCCTATCTCTAGATGTCAATATTGGTGTACTTGTGTTATAGCATTTGTCTCTAGATGCTAATATTGGTGTACTTGTGTTATAGTATTGCTGTCTCTAGGTGCTAATATTGGTGTACTTGTGTTATAGTCTTCCTGTCTCTAGATGCTAATATTGGTGTACTTGTGTTATATAGTCTTCCTGTCTCTAGATTCTAATATTGGTGTACTTGTGTTATAGTCTTCCTGTCTCTAGATGCTAATATTGGTGTACTTGTGTTATAGTATTGCTGTCTCTAGATGCTAATATTGGTGTACTTGTGTTATAGTATTGCTGTCTCTAGATGTCAATATTGGTGTACTTGTGTTATAGTCTTCCTGTCTCTAGATGCTAATATTGGTGTACTTGTTATATTATTGATCTCTAGATGTCAATATTGGTGTACCGTACTTGTGTTATAGTATTGATGTCTAGATGTCAATATTGGTGTACTTGTGTTGTAGTATTGCTGTCTCTAGATGCTAATATTGGTGTACTTATGTTATAGTACTGCTGTCTAATTAACACATAACCTCTTATTTATATAAGATACTCCCATCAATGATGACCAACAGTAGTCAAAATGCTGCTGCTTTGATATCAAGTTGTGAGTTAATTTATATATTTCAATATTTCTGCGACTTGTCAATTTACCTTTTCATAATACTATATTTTTGATTGGATTTACAAGTTTGTAGATCAAAATTTCAAACTCATTATATGTTTTGAATGATTAAACGGGTGGTGTCAATGTTCTCTGAACGTAGATCCTATTTCCATATAATGAAAGTACACTGTGAGATGTTACCTACAAATATTTACAGGTACAGTAGGATAAATACATTGTATGTTTACCTGTACACACTTAAAATAACAGATGATATATTTAAAATCCTTCAGGAATTTAATTAAGAATATTTGATTTTTAATCTTTTTATCTAATCTTATTAAAGGCATTGGTTTCTAGAAACTGTTTATTTGCCAGTTACAACTTTTAAAAGTATAGTTATTTACATTTTATTTGCACAAACTCCCACATAATTATGACAATATCCTTGTCAGTACAGTGTATGTTCTGGGAAGGCCCACTCTTCCTAACAATGACTAGATATGCCCCAGTAAACAAGTAGGTATAACTATCAGTCTGATCAAAGAACATCTTAAAACAAGGAATAAATTTCATACATCAATGATACGAGGCTTTCTGGTGAATAAAATAAGTGTCATCTAAACATTTAACTTCTACACCTAAACAGTCATGTTCGTTAAACTGAAATAAACTTAGATAAAAACTTACATCATCCGGCAATGTTATGCCTTTAATTTTGAACTGGTTATAGATTAACATGGGTTTGTGAGACTTGTCAAATTTGGGGAATAAATATATATATCTTTTCAAACCAAATGAAAAGAATTTATTAGTATGGTGATATTTTAGTTGCTATATGCTATCCAAACAATCAAATTGTGTTTCATTCAAAACTTCCTGTGACATTGATGTTTCAATCATGATGTTTAAATCTTTTTAAATTAGTGTACATTCTTATATACATCACAGACCTTGTCCATCCTGTCCTCTGCACTGTTGTAATTTTTTCTCTACTTTCATCTGTCTTCTCCTTTTCATGACAGCCTCGGGATTGGAGATAGACCTAGTGAACTTTGACTCAGGCATATCTGTATACAGCTTGTCAGCTAAACCTCCACCATGGTCCTTCTGTTTCTGTTTATCTTGCTTTTTCTTTTCTTTCTTCTCTCTTTTAGACAGTTTTCTGGTGAATGTTTTACCAGCACCAGTATTTTCTTTATCCATGGCTGATATCGTAGGAACACCCTGGGAAATTAAAACACATAGTGATGAGACAATATGATCATGATGAGACAAAATGACCAAGATGAGACAATATGATCATGATGAGACAAAATGACCAAGATGAGACAATACGATCATGATGAGACAAAATGACCAAGATGAGACTATATGAACAAGATGAGATGAAATGCCTAAGCACAAAAATGTGCAGAAGTTGAGTTGATTCCTTTCCAGCAGTGCAGAATTTTGATTTCTCTCAATTAATTTCAAAAGTGGAAAAAATACAGTTAGTATTATAACTCTTATTTTTCTACTCTTTCACATAGATATGGCATACATACATTTTTTTAAATATTTCTTGATATTCCAGAGTAATGATTGACTTAAAGGGCCGTATCATTTTTTTAAATGGAAAGAAAAGATTTGTAACATGTAGGGATTTATAGAAAGGACTAAAATCCCTGACCCAACAAAAATATGTCTTGACATTAAGAATTCAAGCCATTATATACTGAAGGGGTAGAATCTAAACTGGACTTCATGTCATCAACTATTCTCCTATAATTCCATATTCTAGCTAGGACATTACATGTATACATGGTTTGTACATCTATGCTAGGACCAAGTTGTTGATTTTGTGATGACTTTGAACTGATTGTGTATAACCTACAAAAGCGGTTTATGATATAACACTTCTATCTAGAGGAAATGACTTAAATTGAGTCACCATGGAGAAACCAACCAGATGTTAAATATGTATCTCCAATATAAACAGTGATAATTCTACTTTAATGAGTTAAAGTTTACCTAAATCCCAACGTCCATTAATCCTAGAGGAAGAGTCAGGAATTACATAATATACTACCACATTGTATGTACTTTATGGGTGCTAAACAACGACAATTATTTAATCAAAGTTCTTAAAAGGGAAAAGTAGAAAATGTACAATAGAGTTAAATGCATTTGCTATTAATATGGGTTCAATTTACATTCACAGAACCAACTATACAATGTATTGTCAGTAAAGTTTAATACATGCACACTCAGAAGGTTGTATACCAGATTATAAAGCCCCTGTTTTATATACAACAACATGATGATGACAATAGAGAGAATAGGTAACAAAACTTATTACCTTGTAAATTCACACATTTTATTGTCTCTTAATTGTATATCTGACAATTTATTCATGTACCATGCCTGACAGATTGAAATAATTCACAGCTTCAACAAGACAACCATACATATCTTAAATATATTTTATTGTACAATTTACAATTACCTGTGAAATGTTCACACTTAATATATATATGGTATCTTTCTAATTATTTCTCCTTTCCTTACAATCTCATGATTGAAATTTTGGACAACTTTGTAAGTAAAATAACTGAACCCTTTTCATTTTGCTGCTGAAGACCTAACCTTCCCTTTACTTTTGTAAAATTTACAAATTGGTAACTTTTATTGGTTTGAATTTTGTGAATGATGGTATGAGACAGTAATTTCATGTATGAACAATTGTTCGAGGTAATTCTTTCTGCAGTCCTATTATTTCTTATATTTTTTCTGTTACTAGCTGAACATAATAATTGGAAAATTGTATTCAATTCTTTGATAAACCACTTTTTTTCTTTTTCAAATAGTTTTTCAATTTCCATTCATCAGTTATCCAAAATGAAAATCAAATCATTATAAAAGGTCACCGTCATGAAATTAATTTTCATTATTTTATCTATGACAGGCAGCTGTAAACATGAAACACAAAAGTTTTGTATTGAAGATAGTTTAGTTAAAATAAAATACATGTAACATATGGCTTCTCTCCTCATTTTTTCAAACAATTTGTTCATGCATTGATATATTCTTCTTGTTTTAACTTTTTTCTCATTTTCAGCATAGTTCATCTTATTGTTAGAACAACAAGAGTCAAAATTTGTCAACATCATAGAAAGAGGGAAGGAGGGATGGTGTTAAGATTATTGATACATCATTCTTTGTTTTTTCCTGCTCTTAATTACATTATTGCACAAAATATAGCTTATATATTTTTGCCCATCTCTGGTATTATTTGCAGAATGGACCCATTTTAGAAGAGTGTATCATCACAAGCTTTTTCAATTTGTATGTTTTTTTTTCCTCCCTCCTGCAGAAACATATTTAAAAATATTTATAAAATGAACAAAGACTGAAATTGATGACACAAAAAACAAGGCAAAAACACTGTGCATCAAACATGCTTCAAAAATAACATGGAAAATATTTCAATGTGTTCATTTCAGATAGAAAATTGATTTTAAAACAAACATGAGGATTTATTCCTTTAAAAACAATGCCACATATACATGATATAATGGTGTTACTTTCCATCAAGAAATGACACCGCTTCAAAAACATACATATAGATCATGCTGATTACCTGAGGATCCTAAAAATACCAAATAAAGCCATTAAAAAACAATTAACTGTGATCTGTTGACTCCATTCCAATAACCCTATAATGAACACATCCATGTACAACTAATTATTGAAGTTATTTAAATTGAATTGAAAACAATTGACCGACTTCATATGAGCATTTTTTTAATGTCCCAGTTAATGGTTAATGTTAACCAAAAGAAATAAGTTTTCAAAGATGGAGTGTTCTGGACCAGTTCTATTTAATGACAATTTTATCCCCTAGGCAGAAATAATATCGAAATGAATATAGGGGTACTGTAAATATTACAAGTTTTAAAACAAAACCAAAATACATTTTTTTTAACTTTTTCTTTTTTGTTGATTTTTGCATATATTACTGTGGATTTATTCATTTTTGTGGTCACCAATTTTTCGTGGATTGAGGAAAAAATAGTGCTTTCATGGATATTTGATTTCATGGTTTTGCCAAAGTCTGCCTACAAGCCTGTTGAAAATTTGTGCTTCATTTAACATCTAATTTTGTAGTTCACCTAGGCCTTTACCCACGAAATCCATGAAAGTTGGTATCCCACGAATTACGAATCCCCAGTACATGTGATCAATGGTTGCTGTCAATAAAGCATGCAGTTATGTCCCTTGAGGACATAAGGTACAGAACTATTAGGTCACTTATCATTTTAATCTTAGAAATCAATGATGTGTGACATAGATTAAACATTATCAGATCAAATATGACAATTATGAGGGATTATAATGTGATTTAAAATTAAGATTATCTGTAGATTAAACAAGTTGGAACTATTGATGACCCAAAGGTTTTTTTACACCCCTAATGTACTATGTATACAATATAAAAATAAGAAGATGGTCAGATTGCTGATGAGACAACTTTCCACCAGAGACCAAATGATGCAAAAGTTAGAAACCATATAGGTCTGACACTTAACAGCCTTCAACAATGTGCAAATTTTTTTTCCATCAGCAAATTGCACAGTATTCTCATAAAAATATCTATATAGCAACCTAATTAAACATGGGATTTTTTAATGCCATTTTGTTTCTAGAAATCATATCATCCCATTTAAGCAATAATGTTAATCACATTACCATGATGCTATAAATAAGGCTTAAGGCCCTCAGGGTAGAACACTGTAATGTAATCATGGTAATATAACACTTCATCAAGACATTTATCTTTATTTTTTGAAATTTTGGGGTCTTTTACAGATTCTTAAATGAACCCATGCAAAAAAATCAATACATCTGTAGGCATCACATTACACAGGACATTTACAATGGCAGAGGTTCAATAAAGAAACAATTGTAAATTCCTGAGATAAATTTTTATCTTAAGAATGTTTGTTTTACTTGTAGTTTAATGGAGTCATTAGCATCATTGTCCGTGGGTAAACCCTCGCATAACTACTTTTACATGTATTTACAAATAAGTTTATATCTTTGTAAACTTTTGAAATTGAAATTATCTTGATAACATTCAAACCAACATTTTTATTTATTTATACATTCCTAAATATAAAACAATATTAAAATTGTCATGCGTTTATAACCAGACATAAATCACTGTCATCTATTTTTAAGTTGTTCATTTGAATTTGTGAACAAGACATTAGACCATCTGAATAAAATTTGAAGGTTAATGTGGATAGCATTAGTCCACACAACACTACACAATAAAGACAGAGAACTCAGGTTCTCTGGAAGGGTCCATAGTTCCTACAGGCTTTTAAATAGGCATGGCAGGATTAGGTCAAAATTGTACAAAACATTAACTTTTGGCATCAACTTATCTCCATTATCAACTTCTGACAGACTTTGTATATTACTACCCTAAATGTAACCTATTGGATAAGAAATCGACTTTTGGCATCAACAGATGTGTTGTCAACTTCTGGCAGATTTTGTAAAATTCTTATCTTTTGAATGCTTCCTATAAATAATTGCAATGTTTAAGGGTTTATATGAGAATTTTCATGTTCAGTAAGCTGTGAGATCACGGTCAAAATCCTAAACTGACCTATATTTGAAAAAGTTTACACAATAATGACAATGTGTACAAAGATTCAAGTTGTAATACTAATAATAAGACTAATTGTACTATCATACTGAGGCAGGGCATAACAAAGATTAGGAATAACAATGCAGAGAGTACATGTATTTACCTCTTGTTTAAGGAGAAATCATCCCTCTCGGACATCTTTGCCCCAGTTAAGTACATGTATTTACCTCTTGTTTAAGGAGAAATAGTCCCTCTCGGACATCTTTGCCCCAGTTAAGTACATGTATTTACCTCTTGTTTAAGGAGAAATCCTCCCTCTCGGAAATCTTTGCCCCAGTTAAGTACATGTATTTACCACTTGTTTAAGGAGAAATCGTCCCTCTCTGACATCCTTGCCCCAGTTCAGTACATGTATTTACCTCTTGTTTAAGGAGAAATCGTCCCTCTCCGACTTCCTTGCCCCAGTTCAGTACATGTACTTACCTCTTGTTTAAGGAGAAATCGTCCCTCTCAGACATCTTTGCCCCAGTTAAGTACATGTACTTACCTCTTGTTTAAGGAGAAATCGTCCCTCTCGGACATCCTTGTCCCAGTTAAGTACATGTATTTACCTCTTGTTTAAGGAGAAATCGTCCCTCTCGGACATCCTTGCCCCAGTTAAGTACATGTATTTACCTTTTGTTTAAGGAGAAATCGTCCCTCTCGGACATCCTTGCCCCAGTTAAGTACATGTATTTACCTCTTGTTTAAGGAGAAATCGTCTCTCTCTGACATCCTTGCCCCAGTTCAGTACATGTATTTACCTCTTGTTTAAGGAGAAATTGTCCCTCTCTGACATCTTTGCCCCAGTTAAGTACATGTATTTACCTCTTGTTTAAGGAGAAATTGTCTCTCTCTGACATCTTTGCCCCAGTTAAGTACATGTATTTACCTCTTGTTTAAGGAGAAATCGTCCCTCTCCGACATCCTTGCCCCAGTAAAGTACATGTATTTACCTCTTGTTTAAGGAGAAATCGTCCCTCTCCGACACCCTTGTCCCAGTAAAGTACATGTATTTACCTCTTGTTTAAGGAGAAATCGTTCCTCTCTGACATCTTTGCCCCAGTTAAGTACATGTTTTACCTCTTGTTTAAGGAGAAATCGTTCCTCTCTGACATCTTTGCCCCAGTTAAGTACATGTATTTACCTCTTGTTTAAAGAGAAATCGTCTCTCTGACATCCTTGCCCCAGTTCATGATCAGTACATGTATTTACCTCTTGTTTAAGGAGAAATCGTCCCTCTCTGACATCTTTGCCCCAGTTAAGTTGAACAAATAATACTTTTTCATTGTCTAATAATCTTCTTTCATCTGTAAAAATAAAATTGTCATTTAAAATCTGTAATTTATGGTCTAGGGCCGAGTCTAACTAATCTTTGAACCAACTGTCTCTCTCTCTACTCTGTCCTTTTTGTGGTCACAAACAAATTTAATAAATCAACAGGTCCTCTTAATCATTTACACCATCATGACCATGTTATTGTTGATGATCACAACTGTGAAATTCTATATTTCGTATGTCATATATTTATATAAATGTATGTGACAGATCTATATACATGTCTATAAGTTACACTACTTTTATCTTTTCTACACTTTCAAAAAGTTTCATATACAATCTTTATGCATTGGAAAAAATATAATTGATATGTACATGTATGAGCTTTAGAAACAGGAAGGAAAGAAAGGCTTGTTGAATTTCTATCCTGTTTTGTAGCAAGTACCAATGAACATTATAGGTGTAATACCACCATTGATTTTCCCCTATTAGTCTTTGTTAAATTTGCACTTTTCAAAAAATTGTGCAGAATTTATCTTTGTTTCAAATAAAGAAATACTTGGCATGAGTAAAGATTTATCCTGTCCAGTACTATAGAAAAAATTTCACATAACATTTCATTGCATATAAGAAAATAACCATCACTGGAAGTTAACCAATCAAATTTTCCCCCTTTTTAAACCTGTGTACAAGCTTTAGTAACCATGTAACCTCAAGTTTCCAAAATATTCTATAGAAACTCCAAATAAAGAAATGATGGTGCTTTGAAATACCCAAGATATATGTTTATGACTCAGAAATGTTTTACTGCAATGAAATGTAGGATCAATTACCTACAACTGTCAAATTCAAGGGAATATTTTTTTTCGACCTATTTTCGTATGCAACCGGATGTGACGTACTATGATTTGGTGGTATTACACCTTATAGTACAAATGTATCTGACAATGTACATTTATTGCTATACTGTAAATTCAGAAATTATTGCGATGTTTTTATTGCGACAGGGTTATAATCGCAATAATTTAAACTCGCATTTTGAAATTTTTTATATGAATTAAACAGGATTTTTCTCAATATCGCAAAAATTAAAATTGCATTTTAGTCTAATGACAGCGGTATACCGTAATACGTCCCGTAAACGGGCGTATAAAAACAACAGAGATAAACAATTAAGACAAACGACAACAAATTATTTCATTTTAACATAATAATATCTTAATAATTTAAAGTACTGTCTTAATTTCAAATTTGATATGATTATGCATTTGTAAAAAATATGAAGAACATATGGTGAGGAGCAATTACAAGTTTTTTTTCCTTTAATCTACATAATCATACTCTCGTAAAATTACACCCTTGAAGCTATTGATACAATATTATATACATACATGTATGTACAAATGTACATAAGTCAATTTTTAAATAACCTGGAGCTAATTAACCATGTGTAAACTAAAGCCACTACTAGACATTCTTGTCATACTTGGTGTAGCAACTTTCTGTAATGTTTTGTCAGCTTGGCTTTATCTCCTTAGATAATACTAATCACCTCAGACAATTCATCAGATACTATAGCGTTTAAACAGCTTACAAAAGGTCATTCATAAATCTATCTTATACTTCTTTAAAGTCAGTTTAAAGTTAATTATTTTTCAAACTTGTTTTAAATTTTATTTCAAAGGTAAAGATGATTTAATAATAACTTATACAAGCCTTACAACATGTACAATGAATGATGTTGTACAAATATGTTAATTATTTCTGTATTTCAATGATTAATTTATTTTTTTTTGTCAAACTATACTTAACTGCAGATTAATAAAATTTGATACAATGTAGTTTTTATGTACCTTTGATTTCAGCTATTTTCAATATGTTGCAATCAGTTGGAAAATAGAACATGACATTGACAGTGACTAAATAAAGCTTTGCACTTGAAAGATCTGGTTGTAACTGATTGTGTATTTACAAATGTATCTTATACCAACAGTCATCAACATTAATCTGAGGGGATTGGTTTGGTCCCTATAACGTTCTTCTTTCAGTAAAAGTCTACACCCAGGAATAAATTTCAAAGAAATGACGTGCAAGATATTAATTGTTATATCTATCCTTAAATGTCAACAGGAGCAAAATGCTTGACCACTGAGTTCTCGAAATCGTTTCATCCCTGGTGGTCCTTGAAGAAAATCTGCTGGTCCTCACTATTATTTCTACTGCAAAATGCCACATTTGTGCTGGTCCTTTGCAAAATTTTGGTGATCAGGACCTTCAACCACCACTTTTAGAGAATTCTGTGACCCTTATATTTAATACCTTGGAGGCACTAAAATACCAAAAGTCCAAAAAAGACCAGCACCACCATGAACAAATAAGACCACTGACCAGCAACACCATGGACAAAGAAGACAAAAACAGTATATGTTACACCACACAGAAAATACAAGATTAATTGATTGGTTGCTTAACGTCCAGTAGAAAATATTTCAAGAATGCTCAGGACGAGTACAAATTAACAATAAATACAATAGGTAGTCCTGTACATGTAGAAGGTGCCTTTGGGGAAATTTGGACTGCCACTGGAAAATGAGGTTATCACAGTCCAGGATGAATGTCAGGGAAATTTGGACTACCACTGGAAAATGAGGGCATATTAGCTAGGACAGACATTTTGTCTTGCAACAGCCCCCTCAAAGAGTTTTTACAATAAAAGATTGAACAATGAGACTCAACCAAACACTGAGGGTGAAATCAGGTGCTCTGAAAAAGCAACCAGTTTGTGTTAACAACAAGGGGAACCAGTTGTGTTGCTCTTAGCAAGTAAAACTAGATGTATTTTGAGTAATTCCTCACTAATGGTACCCCCTCCCCCCCCCATAAGTATCCAATAGCAGGAAGTTGACAAGCAATGGTATAACATATTCACATGAAGTACGATACCAAATTTCAGGAAGCTTTGATTGGTATTTCATGTGTATCTGAGAAAAATGCAATGCAAATTTCATACATTATGGCCATTATGTGTAAGAATATAAAAGTTTTCTGTGAACAAGTAATGAGTGATGCATGATGTGAAATAGCATCACACAGTATATAATACATGTAAGTATTGGGGAAACAGGAAGTAGATAAGTGATGGATGTGAAAACGTATCGCTCATTATAGCATTCCCACATGTAGCTTTTTTTGCCACTTTTAGGAAGCTCTGATTTGTTCATCTTGAGATTAATGCGAAGAAAGTTTCCTGTGATGGACGTTAAGGACACATGGGAGAAAACTAGCATTGGGGTATAAATACCTTGATGTTTCTTACATCATACAGGTAGTTATAAGTAAAACTGAAAACCAAGGACTTGGATTCAGATTGTTTGAGTGCAGGGGCTCCACTCTTAAAATGTTACATGAATTGTATTACAAAATTCTACATGTATTTGTCTACAAACAATATAATGTATCCATAATTTTTTTTAAAGATTGAAAAGTACTGACATACATTTCTAACTGTACCACAGTGAGTCTACGTTAACAAAGTTATGTCAGTATCTGCTAAAGTACCATCACTACTGGTAAGATAAAGTACTCCCCAACTTGGATAACCCTTAAAATATATCCTGTACAGATAAAACAAGATAATGATTCTATCAAGTGTCACATTAAGTTATGTTATACACCACAAGAATCTTGTCAGATAACCATGATAAAGTTATCCAGAGCTCTATTGTGTGATAATATTGTAAAATTTCCCCTGTTTCATTGCAACTATTGTCAAGAATAGAATACAAATCTACTTTTTATTAACCTGTATGTGAACTTTAACATAATCAAGTTTTATGCCTTATCCATGTATATAAAGAAATAAACTTTTGGCATTCTTTGTTATTTTTTCAGTTTAGCAGGGAATACATATAAAATATGCTAATTCAGTACTGGCTAAAATTGTAAATATTATACCTCCATTAACGTGGACTTCATACAAAGCATATGAAGTTCTTGTCAGCATTCTCATATCTGGACGGAATTTCTCTATCAAAACATCCACGACCTCCTTTGTGGAGGCAGTACTGGCTACACGTATACATTTTGTCACTACATTTGCACCATCTTGGAAATAAAATCTCACTACACCATGGAATTCCAAGTTCTGGAAATAAAAAACAAATTATCAGAATTTTCAAGGTCCATATAATGCTAAAATGCATACAGCAAGTATGTTGTTCTCTATATATTGTTTGGTTATTTTTGTTATTGGGTTGCTGTCTCATTAACATACATTGTATATTCCACATCTCCTGTCATTATACATGAACATGTTTAAAACATAATACATTTGTAAATCAGGCATGATATTTATAAATGATGGTTGTAAAAGTTTTTTTTCTTGTTCTTTTCACAACTACTAGGATCTTGCAGCTATAACTAGCTGTACATATCTTTTTCAGTTAGGTTTTGCCAAAGATTTATTATTTTGGAGTTCATCACAATGTTACAGTTAGAACTCCACAAATTTTAAGCTCACCACATTACTACAAGTAATTTGTTGACTGTGCAATATGTCATGTCAACTCCATAACATTTGATATACACATGTATACATTGTAAACTAGACTTTTACTATTACTGCATTACATGTATGACAAGATTCATGAAAACACCCCCAAAAAACATAATTGTGTATTTCTACATTGTACATTAAGAGTACATTTGTAGTTTGTTTACTACTTAAAAAACTCAAAGAATGTGTTATACATTTGATAATTTAACTTTTACACTGTAACAAATTTTTACAATGAAAAGTGTCACACCAGCTACATTGTGTAGGTAATATAATACATTATAATTAGGCTATAGTAGAGTAGCCTTTAATGTTTTCACATTTTGAGATGGCCCAATGAACAAAATAACTACTTATCACATGACAAGATAAATCTAAGGTCTGATTTACTTGAAAACATACAGGTAATATGAGATCATGTGACTACACAGGGGTAACTTCCTATTCATTCTGACCTGTACTGGACATCAATCAGTCCATGTAAGTGGACTACATGTAAAATGTACATGTAACGTCTCTTAATAGACTGGTCATGTACTAAATGATTTCATTGGGCCCAATACTGATGATTGTTTTGTGGAACCATGTACTTCTTTCAAAGTCAGGAGTTTTGGTTTAAGCTTGCAAATGAAATTGGTATTATAACATACAATGTAATAACATGTATATGCATCTTATTATATGTTACATTTTGTACCATGTTATGTTTATATCTACACTGTACCATGTTATGTTTATATCTACACTGTACCATGTTATGTTTATATCTACACTGTACCATGTTATGTTTATATCTACACTGTACCGTGTTATGTTTATATCTACACTGTACCCTGTTAATTTTATATCTACACTGTACCCTGTTATGTTTATATCTACACTGTACTATGTTATGTTTATATCTACACTGTACCCTGTTATGTTTATATCTACACTGTACCCTGTTATGTTTATATCTACATTGTACCCTGTTATGTTTATATCTACACTGTACCCTGTTATGTTTATATCTACACCGTACCATGTTATGTTTATATCTACACTGTACCATGTTATGTTTATATCTACACTGTACCATTATGCAAGGATAAGATTATTAAAAGGGTGGTAAAGGGTTATTTTCGTGCAACGTTTTCGGCTTTTTTTATTTCACGTGTTTTCGTGTTTTGACTTTTATTTCTCGTTTCCTCGTGTTTGGTTCGATGTGCGTGCTTCGTGTTTCCCCTTATTTATTTTCCTTGTTCCGTGTCGGAGCACCTGAGATCACCCCCGGTTTTTGGTGGGGTTCATGTTGCTTAGTCTTTAGTTTTCTATGTTGAGTCATCTGTACTATTATTTGTCTGTTTGTCTTTTTATTTTTGGCCATGGCGTTGTCAGTTTGTTTTTGATCTATGAGTTTGACTGTCCCTCTTTTAAATTTCTTATGCTTGTCCCGCATTTGATTAAAAAGTAAACTGGGACTTATTCAAAGTCACCTCGGATATTTACAATTCTATATTATATGTTTGGTATGTAATAAAGTCCATCAAATTACTATGAATAATATTTTTTTCAAATCAGATGCAACTAGCGGACGCTAAAAGGTGACCGCAGGGTCTTCATGTCCATTAATAATGACTGCATGATCTCCAAGAACGGCTGAGTAATAACTTCTAGTACGTTTTTTCCTTAATATTTCCGATTTAATTTCTCGTGTTTCGTTTTGCCCGATTTTTATTTCACGTGTTTCCGTGTTCTGGGCCCCCTTTACCACCCTCTATTAAGTAATTCTGTCAGTGAGGTTTTTCCCCTAGTAATTTAATGCAAATCCATGGCTACATGTAGTCTTTAAATTTATAACCTTACTAATTCTCTTTTTGTGAAAATGCACAACTGATTGAGTGTTGGTTGCTTAATGTCCATTGACAAATTTTGTATACATGTTCAGGAGGTTAACACATTAAAATTAAATACAAGGGGTAGGTCCTGTAATAGAAGTGTCCAGGATTAATTTTGGGTAAATTTGGACTGCCACTGAAAAATGAGAGTACATGTATATTGGATAGGGACAGAAATTTTGACTTGCAATAGGCCATCTACTGACCCCTCAAGTTGTTGCAAGGGTTCTTAACATGCATAGAGCATGGCATTCTCTTTAAACAGAACATTATAATCAGATATATATTTTTGTTAATATAAAAAAAGATATTTTTCACATTTGACCCCAAAAATTTAATACACATAGAAGGTCTTTGTAATCCAATCAATGTACAAAATGTACTACTACTGACACCCCCCCCCCCCCCCCCAAAAAAATAAAATCAAGGTCAAGAACTTACGGAAAAAAAAATATGACATAAGATGATCAAAGGTCACTTAAGGTCAACCCTCTATAGTGAATTGGTGATTATGGACAAATGTATTCCAAATTTAATGATCAGTAGATTTCTTAGAAAAATTCTATTCTGTTGATGTGTTTATCCACCAAGGGACTATATAATTAACATGATTTACAGATGGACAGACCTTTAACTATATAGTCATGGTTGATATTTCAACACAGGAGGATATAATTGACAGGAGAGAACATATTTCAAGAATTTAACCTAATGTTTGTACTTTAAAGTCTAGGCAAAGAAAATGACCTGTTTACAGTCAGATTTATGAAGTCCAAGATTGCTCTGACATCCTGACACCCATTTTTGAATTGGCTGGGGCATTCCATCACATTCCTATTCTACATCACAGATATGTAGCATGCACATTTGTAAATCTTTGAATTAAGTTAGAGAACGGAAACGAAAATTCAGCAATTTTTCCATTTGAAAAGGGGCATAACTCTAGAAAGGTAAAAGTGACCCTACCAAAATTCAAACTTGATCTGTGTTTAGTGGTATTAAGCATTGTGTATAAGTTTCATAACATTTGGTTGAGGCAAACTAAAGTTAAAGGAAACCAATTTTGGGACGTACGGACATACAGACGGACAAGGGTAAAACTTAATGCCCCCTCCGCTACAATATCTGTTATGATTGCCAATGAGACAATCATTCACTAAAAAGGTAGCAACTATTGAGCAAAACCCATACTGCATAGCAAGCTATAAAAGGCCCTGACATGACAAATGTAAAACAATTCAAACCAGTAAACTGACGGCCTGATTTATATATAAACAATAAATGAAAAACAAATATGATATACTGTATAACAGCAACAATGTACATTTCACTAGATTTTGATGAGCTTAGTACAAGTTTATTATTTTTTTTAATTATACATATACATACATATGTAACAGGGGTCCTACTGAGCTTCACCAATGTTGTCAATTGTAATTTTATATTCTATGTTGATCTATCTGAATAACCTTTCTGGCCAAATAAAAATCAAACAGCATTTGACATGTTTGAAATTTTGAATCCTTTGTGTGACAAGATTCAAAGCTTACACAAATGCAAATTCGACAACAAACCATTAAATCAAAATGATAATTTATTTATGGGTTCCTTATCTTCAACAATTAACTTTCAGGGATGTACATGTACTTTCATGATTTTATAAATGGATGAATAAACAAATGACCTGATTGCCCCAAATATGCACTGGTTGGTAAACATGTCAATTATCTTTATGACCCTCTAGGGACAATTGAAAATAATTACTGTGAACTCACAGCAAGTGTCAGTCTTAAATTAGATCAGTATTGTTTTGAAGTTTTTTTGAAGGGAAAAAGTTTTGTTTTCTCTTTCAATTTAAAAACAAACAGTTGGATAGACTAAGTGATCATCATGATGAACAGGAAACCTTTATTTAGATAGTTTTTATTTATCAATGATCTAATATGCATGAACTGATTTCAAATTAAAGATTACCAAAACATGACACATCATTGGTGCACGTCTGAAAAGGAGGGGGTGTATTGGTGCAAATATTTCAGAACTAGTTATTTTTATGGCAACATGTTAAACAACTTTTTAGGCCAACACAGCCCCTGATAGCATGCCCTTGAATTGAATATTGTGCAATCCTTCTTCCAAACCTTCATGTTTTAAACTCAGAAGTAAATTAAGAGCATAAAATGTTAATGTTGAATAAACACTGCTTTGTACTAGACCCATACATGTACCTTATTTTTTTTTTACAAACAATTGATCAACATACACTGCATCAACCGACCTCTACAGCCTCTACTGGTACACATACATACATCACCCAACCTCTACTGGTACACATACATGCATCACCCTACCTCTACTGGTACACATACATGTACATGCATCACCCAACCTCTACTGGTACACATACATGCATCACCCAACATCTACTGGTACACATACATGCATCACCCAACCTCTACTGGTACACATACATGCATCACCCAACCTCTACTGGTACACATACATGCATCACCCAACCTCTACAGCCTCTACTGGTACACATACATGCATCACACGACCTCAACAGGCTCTACTGGTACACAGACATTGTACCTGCTACATTTGTAGTCAAATTGTAGATGAATACTGTTACAAGGTTCTCACTAAGGATTTTTTAAGGCTAGTCCAGAGAATCATCAATTTTGGCCATAGCTAATCCAACAGTGAGAAGATGAATTTTTGCCATAAAATGATGATATTTGTGCTCAGTTGATACATTTTACAATCTTCATGCATCTTTGAACTCATTTGTTTTGAAAATGATGAGTCATGACACATATTCTTGAGCCCTGGACTCATGGTTTCGCATTAGTAAAACCCTGTGTTATGAGAGCAGCTGAGCTACGAGAGATTTGCTACATCTGGGTTCAAGCACAGCATGTGGCAATGGACAGGGAAGAATGGAAGAACTTATGTTAACCTTATTTTAAGTCTACTCAGGATGGAAAGGAAAAAATATAATATATATTCATGTAAAAAATAATATTTTTTATGATTATAACAAATCATTATATAGAAATAGGTACACAATAATAGTAACGTAATATATATTCATGTGTTGTGCTAAATACATGTCAAGTAGCACTTTTTTCTAGAAAAGAACATAAGTCTTTGATACTCTAAATGCTGATTTGTTTCATATTTAGTATTTCTAGTAAAATCTAATTTTGGGCAATTGGTTTTACGTATTAGAAAAGAGACATTCAGTGATTGTTCTGTGGTTTAATTATGTACATGTAGCTTTAAGTTTTCTGTAATCTGCCTTCAAATAAACCAGTAACAAATCTTTTTGAGGTTAAGACGAGTAACATGCCTAATATACATGTACATTTTTGGAGACTAATTTCTGGCCAGTGCCCCAAAACTTTTCTGTGAAAACTATGAAGGCCAATGGATAATGGTAGACAGATTTTACTGTAGTAAATTAAATATCAGTTTGATTTTCAGTCATATTAAATTTAATCAGGCTTAAATCATTAAAAATAAATATTCTTCTCTAAATTATGAAATATATCATGTGTCCCAAATAGTTGCCTGTAATTTGTTGACATCTAAACAGAAGTCAACAAAAATTTCACTTCAAACATGGTAGGAAATTAATCTCTCCATGAATGGAATTTTGTGTACATTTTATTGTCATTTACATATATGTATTAGTACTATTACATGTACATGAAAAAGTGCCAGAAATGACACATGCTGCAATTATATATGGAATACATCATGTTGCAAAAATGTATTTTGATAAAGCCTTTCCTAATTCCTTATGTAGGATGCATTCCATAATATGTCAACATCAATATTGTGAGTAATCCAATGAGGTCATGTCAACATCCAAGGGGGACAATTCAAAACTTATTTACTTCCCCAATTTCACAGGTAACTAACATTTGATTATGCATTCTAAACCAAATTTTGGAAAGTTTATGTTGTGGAAATGTAATTTCACATGTTTGCAGTAAGTTAATGTTGTTTTATACTTAGTTTGACTTTGGGATGGGGGCAGCCATATTGAAATTGTTGACCGTTTTAGCGACACCTGAGTTTACCTGTCAAAACCCATATGCACAGCATCTAATCTATTCAAAGGTAAAATAATACTTTCCAGTAACTCTCTATCATACAAACAATAAAAAGCATTGCAACACAGGGTTATTCGCAGATTTTTACCTCGTTTGGCCTACTAAGTTCGAAAATATCATAGTGGTCTTGATTCCACTGGTGAATAAGAGTTGCTAAACGTTCCTGATCTTGTATTTTCTCCATTGAATTATCCTTTTGGTATATACTCCATTAAGAAATTAAATTCGACTTAAAACTATACTAATATTTTCACTAAAAAATAAACAAATGTGATATCCCATTCAAATATAGAGTATTGTTTCCGTATTTTACACAGCGGTACACAGCGACCTCCTTGGAAGATTGAATTTATACGCATGCGTAGTTTACCTGTCAATGCAAATTGACGATGTCGCACCTTACACTTCCTGCGGGGTCGTCTCACAATGGATAAAATTTAAAGAACGTCTGAAACACATCTATAGATGTTACGAAAAAAAAACTTTAAGAATTTAACGAGCTGCATGTTTGTAGATGACATTTCTAAAGCTAAAATGTGGCAAATCTCTAGGATAAGATAACACTTCCAACAACATGTTGAAATATCGTCAATATGCACTGACTAGTACCTGGGACTAATTACACTAATCTATACATAAATAGTCATAGCTAGTACCGAGCCTGCTCTAGCATAGAAAATAATATTCAATTCTATCTAGTGGGAATTATCAACACAGTTCAACCGTTGGGTATGATGATTACCCCTGTTCTTAGAGGAAGTGATATTTTTTATCCTTGTAATTACAGGGTATTTCAGTCACAAATTTTAATGCCCTGGGGAAACTTTTCAATCCCACCCTTACTGAATAACAGACTAGATTCTTTTTTTTTTAGAAACACACCAATTCATTCATACATGCAGAGACAGATTGGATTGATAAGGAAAGCTAGAATAAATGATCACTTGTTTATATTGAAATGTATTTTTGATACATACATGTATTGTAACTCTAAGGACGGAAGAGTGTTTGCCTGCTTTGTTGATTCCAAAGAGCATTCGACATAGACATTCATACATATATCAAGATCAAATCACTACAGGCTAGCGTAGACTCTTTATTTTATATCATAAAAAAGCCGAGAATTTATTACGTCAGCAAATATTGCATTAAAGTAAACCAGAGGCTAACCTGGGTCTAAGAAGAAGAAGAAGCAGTTTGAACATGGATGAACTACATGCACCTTCAACAATGGACACTCTATAACATTGTAGTTTATACTCTTTTTTTGTTCATCTTGTATGGTTGACCATGTACTGTTTACAGTTTCTCCTTATCTTCTATAGTTTTTACCCAAAACACAAAAAAGGTAAAAATCGTCATTTAAGGGATACGACTCCTACAAGGAGACAACTGACAATTTCATCTATGCTTACCTTGTCTTTTAAAGTTTCTATCTAGCTATTATAGTTTTTAAGATGATAGGCAAACATTTTTAAAAAAATGGTGAAAGTTGTCGTTCAAGGGCACTGACTGCTATAAAGAGTTGACCAACAATTTCAGCAGTATGATTTATTTTTATATCAATCTTGTCTGGCTGATCAGTTTTTTCTCTCTCTCTGTTATAGTTTCAAAACAATAGGCGATGACCGCGACACAAAAAAAATGGTAAAATCGTCATTTAAGGACAATAACTTCTATAAAGAGTCAACTGAGTATTTTGGCAATAGTGTCTTATTTGTAGATCTTTTCTGAATGATCTTTTTTCATATCTGCTTCAAGTTTCTATCTTTCTGTTATAGTTTAAAAGATGATAGACAAAAACGTAAAACAATGGTAAAAATCGTATTTTAAGGGCAATAACTCGAAGAAGGAGTCTGCTGATGATTTCGGCCATGCGAAAATGGCAAAATTCGTATTGAAGGGAATTGATAGGAATAAGAAAGCGTCTGTCAGTTTCGATGTAAATGGACAATATCTCAACATTCTAAACATATTTTTACCCAGTCAGATTTTCTCTATATCTATAGCAGTTTTCAAGATAATAGGCAGGACTTGCATTGTACCCATATGTTTTATGTTTTAGCCATGTTGGTTGGCAGTAGAGGTCATCGGACATATTTTTAAAACTACCTAAGATACCCCAATGATGATTGTGGCCAAGTTTTAAAATTAGATAAATTTGGCTTGGTAGTTTCAAAGAAGATTTTTGTAAAAGTTAACGGACGATGACGACGACAGGCAACAGACGCCAAGTATTGGGAAAACTTTATACTGGCCCTGTGGCGTAACATATTTTTTTCCTATTAAGCTTCGGGTAAAACAAGGAGACAATCTTAGTCCTAATTTATTTTAAGATTTTCATCAATGATCTCCCAGAATATCTTGAGAATTATCCAAATCCGGTGGTATTAAATGATAAACCTCTTATTGATCATTGTATGCAGATGATATAATTCTGTTATATTCCACTGCACTGAAAAGGCCTCCACGCTAAACTTGAAATGCTTGATAGACATTGTAATGACTGGTGTCTGACTGTACTGTAAATGTAATTAAAACCAAAATCTTAATTTTCAATAAGTTGGACAGACATATACTTCATAATTTAATCATAAAATACACGAACTTGAAGGGGAATTTCGGTGTATATACCTTTGTGCCTCAGTCACCATTTCCTTATCTCAGAATGAACGTTACAAGAAAAGCTTAAAAGCATATAATAAACTTCAGAAAGACTTTCTATCTTTAAGTACAAAATTAAAAACCAGCAAACTTTTATTTGATCACGCAATCATACCCATTTTACTTTATGGTAGTGACTTTTAACTCAAATACAGCAAGGTTTAGAAACAGTATCATGTCGTCAGTAAAAATATATTCACATCTAATCAGCAAAAAACTAAAGTTGTGTACATTTAATTTAGGGGTACATACAAAAAACACCAACTTTGCTGTATTGACAGCACGTGGACGTTTCTCATTTTACTATGATACTATAAAAAATATGTTTTTTTTTTATTGGAACCGACTTTAGCATCTAGACGAATTTCCATATAGCTTCAGAATGCATATGAACAAACCAAGAAATTTAACCCGTGGAAAATCATTTTGGTATGGATCACCTTAACGTATACTCAGATATTTTCAGAATGTTACCGGAATGGAAGGCAAGAATATTTCAAAAAGCAAAGTAAAAAGTAATGTAAAAGAAGGCTTTTTGAAACTATGGAAAAATCAGGAAAAAATATTCAGAAAGGAAACTGCGTACATACACAACTTTTAAGATACATTTTTGATTTGAAAATTATTTATCTCTTGTGCGTGATTTTGATCATAGGAGGAGTATGACGAAACTACAAATTTCAGCACATCGTTTGCAAGAAGAAACTGGCAGATACCAGGGTACCCCTTTACACATTAGACTTTATTGGTAGTGTGAGGTAAATGATGAGATACACCTTCTCCTTCGATACACCAAATTTAACAAGGAGCGACACAATTTGATTTAAAATGTATCTTAGTCTTGTAATAAGTTTACTAACATGAGTTCTTCTGAAAAGTTTTTTTGGTTAATGACCTGTGAGGAAATATATCAGTATTATAACATTTGAATAATTTTGTCTATACACACTTTAGATAGTGTAATGTTTTAATCTTAATTTCTAAAGCAAATGTGTTAAATTCTTATTTTCATGACTGCTTGCTTAATTAGTGAGCTTAGACACGGGATACGATTCTTACACATCACCCCTTGCGTCTCCTCCAGTTAAGCAATCGACTAGATGGTCCCTTAAAAAAATGTATATGTATTACTTTATTGCTTGGTTTGCTGGTTTAAACACGGGAAGATTCATATGAATATTGAGCACCGCCTCTGAACCAATTTGGTTGTCTCCCCTTGGGTAACACTGCCGCAAACCTCCTTACTGCAGAAAACACAACATTCTAAAGCATCTTATAACGCTATAGTTATTATTTCTCCGGTATTATACATTGCATACTTGTATTGTATTGTTTTATATGTTTATATAACTGAATTATGATTGTATCTATTCCATTGCCCCCTGAGAAACTTTAATTGGAATAAACACATACTGTATTGTATTGTATTGATAAAGTAAACATCTATCGGGGATAAGACTAATGTAGCACAGTGGCTTTATATCAGACTGAAAAGTGTGGGGGAGGGGGGGTCAAACGTCTGAAAATGACAAGCCCAAAAAAAAGCTTTTCTATAGACTAGAAGTTAGTCCGTGTTATCTTTCATATACATTTTTGTTTCCAAAATTATAATTAATTTCTGGGCCACAAAATGGAAGGGGTCAAAACATTAGTATACCTACCCCCCCCCCCCCCCCCCCCCGCTCCTACGCCTGTGTGCGACAAATAACCAATTCGTATGATCAGAATGATAAGAACTTTTGTTGTATAAAATGCCAAAACATTGTATAGACAGACTTACAACCTGGCTTGTTTCTGAATCCTATTTATTTCAGATATGATGTACTACATGCATTGGTGCGTAACTTGTAAACGGTTTCTAGTTCACGTTCTTACTAGACTCAGAGACAATACAATGTATTATATGTCTCTGCTAGAAGAATTACCTTTTAATTCCAAAATCATGCATATAAGAATAAGGAAAGACTTGTCGACAAAGAAACAAAAAACATCGGCTACCAGATACAGTTTTCACTCATTAATTTTGGGCCTTAAAGGTGTGCATATGAATTAGGTCATCCAAAAGGGAACGATCTGTAACTCCTCATAAGAAATCAGTCCAACGCATCAAGGCCAACGTAAAGAACCAACATCTGGTTGATTTGGAATTGATGGAATGATGGATATAGGTAAAGTAACACTATATAAATATTTGTTTGCACCAGTCCTAAGTCAGGAACCTGATGTTCAGTTGTTGTCGTTTGTTGATGTGGTTCATTAGTGTTTCTCGTTTTTTATATAGATAAGACCGTTGGTTTTCCTGTTTGAATGGTTTTACACTAGTAATTTTTGGGGGCCCTTTATAGCTTGCTGTTCGGTGTGAGCAAAGGCTCCGTGTTGAAGGCCGTACTTTGACTTATAATGGTTTACTTTTACAAATTGTTACTTGGATGGAGAGTTGTCTCATTGGCACTTATACCACATCTTTTTATATCTATATGTATATATATATATACAAGTCTAAATTGAAAACAACGTTCAAACCTATGATTGCGTTGGATAAAAACCGCAATTTTTATACGTGTGCATGCAAAACAAATTTCTTGTTTAGTATTAAATTTATAATTAAGATCCATTTATTACATCGATGATCCGTTTATTTGGCAATCGCCAATGGCAGTCAGCAGGGCTTAAGAACATTTGTT